TTAGGCATTATATTATGGAAAGACTGACTTATAGCAAAACTGTGTATTCAGTACTGGTCACTATTAAGTTATTATTACAAAGTTCATTACTATTCTAGCATATAAAAATCGTAAACAAAAACACGAGATAACACTCAGCGCAATTTTAGCCCATCTTGCCTAACATTTAAGGTTCGTAATCTATTGCAATATCACAACATAACTGCGCTTGCGTTTATCATTGAGGCAAGGCCTACAGTTCGTTGACACGTTACGTAATGTTGCCTATAACCAAAATGGCGGCATTTATGCCTTATCGCCCATTATTATCGTAGGTTGCAAAGGATTTTTTTTGATATGCATCACCTATTTTCTTGCTTTTCTGCAATCTGAGGGAGGTGAGATGTCAGGTTGTTCGTATGCCACTACTGTGAGCCTTACTCGTTATTTATTTATATGTTATTACTAACTTTTGCACGCGGTTCGGCTCACGTGCATGTCGGTACAAGTAACCTATGTTACTCAGTGATAATATAGCTTTTCATATGTAAAGGAATTTTTCAACAAACAAACTGCAATTCACATTTATAATAAAAGTATGGATTTCAATTCTGTACTGTAAAGAAGAAGGCAGGAGTTTAGTTGATAAGTTTTTCTGGTCTAGGAACCCAATGTTCACCATCGCACGCAAACTTGTACCATGAGATTAACTGTCTTATAAGTGGTACCTGATTACGAAGCCTTGGGTAGCATTTTGGTCTCGTTAATTTTGCCCTCGATAAAGGGAAAATGGTCGAGGGACCCCGAAGACACGCTTAAGATTAAGCATGAACGTCTTAACGACTGGTTCCTTAGCAATTTTAAACGCAAAGTACAAAGATCTTTTCTGTTTACATTTATGTGTTTAAATAATTACTTTTCTTATTTAACTTCATCTTACCCTGGTTTTAAACTTAATCACTTCGTTAATTAGAAAGAGGAAAACTTGAAACAAACCCTATACCAACCCGTCTGGCCAGCCTGGTATAGTAGACCAAAACCTCCTTTCTAAGGAGAGGCCTATGTCCAGCAGTGAACTATTAAAGGCTGTTGATGTGATTCGTTAATTTTATGTTATGTATATTATACATGGATTATCGTGGTCAGGTAATAGGCACAACATACCTTTGAAATGCCTGACATTTCTACAAGGCTTCAAGTTCCGCTGTCACATACTGACTGATTCAGTCTTCACCAACATTTTGCAAACCCATATATTTACAATATTTTTGAAATTTTCTCATCTCAGATACACTAACATTGTCTTTATTTAGTTAGTAAACCGAAGTTCACATACACGCACGCATAGCGTAGTGATTTATGCGGTCACCTCGCCGCTGAGTGTTGTGGGTTCCATCCCCGCATGACAAAACACTTTGTGTGATCCGAAAATGGTTGTTTTGAGTCTAGGTGTTTTTAGTATCCGTTTCATGAATTTTTGTAAAGTCCCCCGCGACACAGGATAAATTCCTAATGCGGGTGTTGTTTTTATTTCCAAAACAAAAGCATTACAAAACATATACATAAAATCCTTAGCCTTGTACTTAGCTAATTAGCCTTTATATATACTCATACTTACTTCTTTATATCCATATTCTTTATATTCATACGAGTAAGTGGAGTATGTCTACCTTTTTTTTTTTCCTTTTTTTTTCCGTGCGGAAATCCCCTCGGATACCACCTATCGGTGGCATGTCGGACTCGAACCGATTAAAACCGCACGCCGTCGCCAGGTACTAATAGCCGGGGAACCAGGTATACCCTAGAAAGGAAGTCCCTGGTGCCCCGACATACCTCGGGTCATCTACAGACGAGTAGACGACCAGGAGTATGTCTACCTGTATCCTTCGATTCTGATATGAAGTGTCACATACCCCTAATTATTCCGTGGGTATTGTAAAAATAGAAAAGGTCCTATTTTTACGATACCCAGCCGTCTGGCTAGCGTTGTATAGTAGGCCAAACCTCTTTTCTAAAGAGAGGCACATGTGCCGCAATGTACTATTAAAGGCTGTTGATGATGATGCTGTAAAATAGAATTTGTTATTTAAAAGGAAATAATGTTCGATACATAATATCAAGCTAAGACTGTTTTATCGAAAATAAATAAATTTAAGATGAATGTTAATGAGAAGCTGCATGAGAAGCTAAGTGTGAATCTTCACATGTTCATGTGTCAAAAGCTCACAGTTCATAGACAATATTCAAAATGAACCAACGAACGAACAGTGTATCAATTAGATCCTAAAAAAAGTAAATCGGTTGCACAGAACGGCCGGATCAACTCAGAATAGATTTTAATAAAAATAAATGTAAAATTAGCAGATTAAAATTAATAATTATTATTGTTCAAAATGTCCTCGTAATAGGAGTTGTCTATACTAATATTATAAAGCTGAAGAGTTTGTTTGTTTGTTTGTTTGCACGCGCTAATCTCAGGAACTACTGATCCGATTTAAAAAAAAAATCTGTGTTAGATAGCCCATTTATCGAGGAAGGCTATAGGCTGTATATCATCACGCTAAGACCAATAGGAGCGGTGCGCCAATGAAGAATGTTTCAAAAACGGAGAAAATTTATTACTATTGAGAGACGCAGACGAAATTGCGCGGGTCAGCTAGTAGTTAAAAATATTTCATTCTAATTAAGTATTAACAGGTACTTATTCTGTAAGTATATGATTTCTTTTTTTTTTAATAATCTGTGAAATTTATTAACAATTAACTAAAGTGGTACTTTTTAGGAAAATATTACTTTACCTTATTTTTAGTTTTCATTTTTATTTTTTACCCGTTTCTTCTTTTGTATTTTTCCGTCTCGGATTGATTAGGTATTGATATTGAAACCTAAGATATAATGATACATTTATCAGCAAACCAATATAAAAATACTTGTCTGAATGTTCTACCCTAAAACCACACTTAGTTATATATACACAGGTATAATAATGCTGTTTACTGTTTATATAATTTAAAACGGTATATTATATAATAGTTACATGTAAGCAAGTTAAACTTGATTTGTAAACTGCGTATCAACACCACGTAAAAAATATTTTAACAAACAAAAACGTAACTATAGAGCTTTATGGTTACGTGCGAACCGACATGTTTTCTCACGTCAATCTAATTAAAAATTAAATAAGGAAAACTTAATCTATTTGTTATTATCAGTGCATTAATAACGAGTATACAATTAGTCAATTACTTAAGAATATAATTAACCTAAATTTAAGTGGTTTGGTCTACGTGTCTGTGGACAACGTGCGCAGCTCGTACGCACCGGTAGTGAAGCGATAAGGCCGAGTTTAGATGTCATTAGGAACAATTCAAATATAGAATACTAAAGCACTTCTTTACACATTAAATTGTTTTTTTTTATTTTAAAAAAATAGCTCAGTTTTGTTTTGATAGTCGATTCGTTTATAACATAAAAGAACCCTTGAATGAGACTTACTTCTGATTTTAGGTATCTTTTAACAAGAATAATTATTGAGTATATTATCTAACTTGATCTATTTTAAATAAATGTTTAAGTAGGAATTTTTCTACTTAAGCAAAATTATAAGCTTCTGATAGATTAAGGTTTAAAGAAGAAGATAAGGTACAACTTCTAAAATTAACTTGTGGAAAAATAGGCACGGTTACAAAATAAAGGCCAGATAGTAGGCTTTCTATTGATAACTCTAATTTTTTTCTATGTAGACACTGAATTTAAAATAATAAATAAAGATGAAAATATATTAGGCCTTATAGTAGGCGAATTTGGTACTAACCATCTGCATCCTACAATCTACTAACTAACACGAGTCACGGTACATAGGTCATCTATTGGAAATGAACTCTGTAACAACAAGACTAAAGTGAATAATTGGGTAGACTAACTTGTTTTGAGTTTTATCACTTGCTTACGAAAATCAACAGAAGCTATCTGCAATAGATTTTCTATATTCTCTACCGTTTTTAATTTTAATGCAACTTAGAGTATTTAACAGCAGAGAGAACACAAACGTACTATGAAATAGGTTAAATATTTCACTGTTTTGTCTATACTAATTATGTACTCCAGTGTTGTGGGTTCGATGTCCATATGTTTATTGGTTTACTGCGATTATGAGCTTAGGTGTATCTTGTGCCCTTTATTTCCTTAATTGTAAACAATAACATAAAAATGGCCCTGGATTTCTTTATCTGATCATTCAAATTGTTACTATGTTTTTTGTTAGGAATTTATCAAAATATTACAGTGTCGTCTTTCATAAAATGTAATAAAATAATATAAGATCCAGAAATACACATAACACACCTGTATGCTGTCACGTCGACGGAGAAGTGGTGGCGGTTATTTAAAATACAACGAAATATAAATGTAGATATTTAAGACTCTGAAAAGTAAAAACCCAATGTAATAATATTAGATGGTCGTGGACCAATCTGATATGATTTTCTAGTGTTCAAATTGTGTCTATCTAATTCAATTGAAGTAAATTGATATTAATGTTACTATTGAGACCGTTGAGAGGAGAATTTCACCTAACATGAACATTGCAGCATTGCCTTACATTTTCATAAATAAAAGAAAAATTACGAACTATGCCTATAATGTAGGTACGTGTTTTGTTATACAGAACATTAATAACATATTAACTATAGCCCTAGCTTGCGATCCAAATAAACAAAACATGGTCTATGCATAAACAATTCAAACTTAGCACTATAAAGCGTTTCAAACGCTAAAATTAAACGCCGAACTAGGCCCTTAATTAAGACACATGTTGATGTTGATCATAAATACCCCTCTCCCACTTCCGCCACCTCAGGGTCCCGAATAAAACCGTGGGCGCATTCAAATTTCGAATCAGTCCAATAGTTGTTGAGAAGTGCATCGCGCGTCCTATGCGTACTTCGTTAATGACGATAGTGGTTTAAAAAAGTTTGTATATGTGACATTTTTTTTTTTAATATTGTGGACTAGCCGGTAAGATGGCATTGTCTATTGTAAGGTTGGGCCTTCGATCTGTGATCAATTTTGAAAGAAATGCAGCTATTATTTCAGTTACCAGTGTTCCAAAACAATTTAAGGTAAGTTAAAATATTGTTTTACAAAAGGTAGCTTTTAATTGAAATATGGAGTGTCAATGAACTGATGCAATTGTGCGTTGCATTTTTGTTGTCTGAAGCGTAACATCTCTGATACACCGTACGGTTATTTAAAAAAAAACTAACAAAAGAAAAGAACACATTAAATAAAGGTTACTGTGTCAAAGAGCAGACATCAGATATTATTTGGCTAACTCCTAATTTCTTTTACTTTGATTTACTTCTAATATTAATAATAGCCACCACTAAGGACTTTGGTTTTTATAAATTATAATAATTAACAAACCTACTTCGGGTAAAAATTGATGTTGAGACCTGAAGATGCGGCTTCTTTGTATTGAACCTTACAGTTCAATCCTTATACTCATCCAACTTTAGAACCTCACTGGTCACAGAAGGGTATTATTTGGTACGATGTTTTACACAATCGACTATGCAAGAGTAGGCGGTTATGGCCAACTGTCACTACTAGTGGCGAGTTCTGTACAGGGAACGTACGGACGGTGGTGGTGGTGGACCTACCAATTTCCTAATATACGTACCTTTTTTCAGGGTCTTGTACCGTGTACCAACTAAATATTGTGTTGGTCATCAATCATCAACAGCCTATACTAGTCCACTGCTGGACATAGGCCTCTCCTTAGAAAGGAGGTTTATTGTGTTGGTACGCAATAATAACAACTATCTACATTGATCATAATTTGTTTTTGTATCTAACAATACATAAGTTTTTGCTGTATGTCATATATACAACATTGATTATTGTAAAAATGACATTATAATGATATTTATTTTTGACCCATTGAGTAACTTACTTCAGATTAACTTTAATAATCGAACGAATTATCCATGGATAAAGGTGTGATTTTGTCAGAAAATAATATCAAAAATCGGTCAATGTAACTCACGGTTGATTTTAATGTTTTTTTTTTCAAATTATGTATAGACATTTATAAGATCTAATAATAAAAACGTCAACGAATAATGAGAATAATTGTTAATTTTTTATCAGTAAAAATTTTGTATTCAAATAATCAAGAATTTCTTCGATAATTCGAAATTTCATCTAAAAGAACATACAAAAAAAAGGTTTACCATTATTATTCTTGTTAATATAACGTTATTGTGAGTTTACAAACATTTTTCTTAAATACCAGTTTTTAAATGTATTTTATAGACGCATAATTTCATTTCGATGAAATTCGATGCGAGAGCAAAATAAACCTAGATTAAAATTAAGTTTAAAGATTTGTTTACACATTTAGTTAGCTACAATTGAAGCTAAGAAAAGCGTGTTAAAAAGTAGCATGAATAGTAACTGTTAAGTAAGTTATATCTTAATTAAGTTGTAACTTAATTAACTAGCAATACAATACAACATTGTGGGAAAGGGACTGACCGCACGTCGATAAGTCTTATCTAAGTATGTCCTTTAAAATATTAAACATTAACTTTCGCATTATAACCTTTACTGCTAATGGTATACGTACGTTTTTCTCAAGAAATTATCGTCAGAAGGGTTAGGACCTTTATCACGTATGCGACCGTACAGTTTTATCAATCAATAATAGTGGACGCACAGAGGTCCAAAATACGATTGTAAGTCATTGAATTGTGGATAACAACGAGGCTTAGTGAAAGGCAGGAAAAAACAACGTATTTATAATTTTTTTCATAATATGATGAGCCGCACTCTTCAATAGCTTCATATTACTGACTTATCCTAATTATTAACATTTAGTAGGTACATAATTTACTCTCCATGTTACATTAATTTAAGTTTAGATATAAGACACACTATGTATACAAACTGATTTCTTCTTTTTATTATGTTTTTTTTTTGTACAATAAAGAGTTATCTATCTATCTATCTAATTTCTTAAAAGTGTATCTCTGTAGCTCTGTGTACTGCCCACCATTTTGTGTAGGTGTCTTTACTCTATGGTATGGCCGGTTGCTCTTCAATGAGAGGCTTTAATTACGTGAAAGTTCTGCCTGAATTTTCAGGGAAGTTTTTGTAGGTTACCCAGAAATCCCTTTGATAGAACTCATTGATTATAAAGAAAGTTTGCCGATTCCATTCCGACTGATACACAATCTATAAATTCCCTAATACCCCACTCACTTACAGAACAAATACTACAGTAATAGTCTTCTACGAGATAGATACCAATGTAAAGCTAAAATAAATAAATAAAGCTACAATTTTAGCAGTCTATTAATATGCTTTACCGTTTATAGCTCAATTTTTACTATTTTAGAAAGGAAAAACATGTACATAAACAATAGCTAACTTGTTCCACCAGTAGGCAGTTAAGACGTCCTCGCAAAGGGCCGCGATCCCTTCACGATTATTATTCACGGCGAACACATTTTGTGAGTTAAATTGTTTATAACATATCATACAAACAACGACCTTGCGTCATAACTATTCAATAACAAAACACCAATTATTTGAAGGGCAACATTGTACTGTCAGGTGAATTATTATTATCAAATCTAACCGTTACAGGAATGTTATAATCATTTGAGGACAACAGATTAATACATACGTTTATTTAATTTTAGTTGTAAAAGCTAGCAGCAGTTTTAACTCCATCCAGAGTTTCAATAGCAAATAAAAGTAAAAGATACATTTTTACCCTACAAGCGTATTACAAAATTATGTTAACAAATACATATTAAGGTAAATTATAGTTTGTTGTTTATTTTACGATCGTTGTTGAAGGCTGCGTCAATTTTAAGTATCAAAACAATAAAAAAACATACAAAACAATTCCTGTTTTGCACTCGTTTTAAAGTATTTTAAGAAATTTACTTACTGTTATGTAAAATAAATATTACAGTTACTATCTCTCGAGCCCTATAGCAGCCTACAATCGTGACACCAATACCTTTATTTCAAATGTACACATGATTTGAAGTTGCATAACCGCATAAGTTGCGTTACTTAACGCCTACTGGCTGTTGGGCGCCGGTTATTGACCTCTAGTTGATTAGTGTGTCGTAGAAAATGTGGCCCTTTAGTTATGCACATAGACACATTAGAGAGTATTATAAAAATGGCGGCAAATCTGAAATAAGACTCGTTGGTTATTTACGGCCATATTGTATTTTTAAGATATGTGTCTTTAAAAACACTAATATTTAGAAAAAAGATAAATATATAAAGCAATGCATGCAGTGTTGCTTTTAAATATCAATTTGCTTAACTTTTATTTTTTAGTATTGGCAAGAAAATATTAATTACCGCATTATTAGTAGGCCTTACAGTTAGGTATTTTGTTATTTAGTCTCAGAAATAATCGCTTTAATCAATAATTCAATAAATATATTTAATAAAATTTGGAAATTAATTTAAAAAATAAGTTCTCTTGTTTATAATTTCTTACAAATGTCTTATTTGCCACTTGCAAATTTTCCGGGTCCTGCGAAGCCTTAATAATTCTGCTTTATCTGTGTGATGTCGTCCATCTTCTTATACGCATCGCGATGGGGTCGAGATGGGGATAGTTCCTCACGTAACCTTTAATTAATATAAAAATCATAAAAACCTTTTAATGCAAAGGGTACCTGCTCTAGGCGTGCCTTCTCTAAAACTGGTTTTGTCCGAATCCGGTCCTCAGACATCTGATAAATATATATTGGAATTTGTAACTTGAGTCTTACAGTATCTATGTTTTATCATTTATAAATTGTTTTCTTCAAAGACAAATGCCCCAGGATGAGCGCGTTCGAAAGAGTAGACGGCATGCATAATTAACACTACGCTACCATTTTGTGGAAAATTCGCGATTAATTATTTTTCAAGTTAAATCATCTCATGGTCGGCAACACATAATGCCTTAGATTAATAATATATCCTGATGGACAGTCGGACCTGTGAAAACATAGGTAGTAAAAAATGATATGGAACTGTTGGCCTCTAAATGCTTTTCCCGCGTTATTAGAAAGAAATGCAATTCGGTTGACACTTGACCGTTTTTTTTGTCTTTGAATGCCGCCTTGATTTTTAGTCGGGTTACTCCAATCTGGAAAATTCGCGATTAATTATTTTTCAAGTTAAATCATCTCATGGTCGGCAACACATAATGCCTTAGATTAATAATATATCCTGATGGACAGTTGGACCTGTGAAAACATAGGTAGTAAAAAATGATATGGAACTGTTGGCCTCTAAATGCTTTTCCCGCGTTATTAGAAAGAAATGCAATTCGGTTGACACTTGACCGTTTTTTTTGTCTTTGAATGCCGCTTTGATTTTTAGTCGGGTTACTACAATCTGAATAAAAAATTGTTGTGTTCTACTTTTAGTACTTTACTCTTAATTCTCTCAACCACTTACATTACTGGATTAGTCAGGTGGTTTCAATTTAAATAAAATCCAAATAAATATGTGCCGCTCCGTGTAATAATAATCCATGATGCTCATGGATTTTTATAACACCTACCTTTAAGACATTGTATGTACAATGGTGGCATTTTTGTAACAATAAACTTGGTAATTATTTGGTACTACTCATGATTCTACTAAAAAAAGGAATACAATTGCTGCTGTTTATAAATCGTTCCTGCATCTTTATGACCCATTTATTTCTGCATCGGCGGGTCATGTCACTTCGTCCGTGGACTAAATTCGCAAATTGTCCAGCGAGGGTGAAGGCAGATTGGTGTGACCGCATTGATCATCATTGTAGTCACCGTGACTCTGTGACCATTTGTCAGACTCTTATTCATTTAACGCGAGAGGGGAGAAATGGATCATTTGTGAGTCCTTAAATATACAATTGGATATCAAGTCTCTTTTAGATCCAAAGTAAGCAAAGTTATATGGGTAGGTACACTATAGGTTCTAGAACACGAATTAAACGTATTTAGATAGTTTTGATTGTCGTATCCATATCTAAGTTATATTTAAAACTCCCAAATAAATGCAAATGAACGTATTATTGCATACTAATATTTACTCTATATGGGAATTGAACGCACATCCCTTGAGACTGTCCTTTTCTAAATAAATCAATTCGCGTTTATGAGTTTTGCTGCGCTCCTAATGGTCCTTATGTTTTCCCATTAATTAAATAAATTTAATCTTCCGCAATGAAATAGATGCTCTATCCCAATAGAAAGTTTTTTTAAATCTGATTATTTATTTGACTGATTGGTCCAACAAAAAAACACCCAAACTGATTTACGAATGTTTATACAGATATTTATTTATCGTTTTATATTTACATGGCTCACCTCGACAGGGATTAATGTTTAAGAACAAAAAATGTCGCGTATCACAAAGTCCCACAAAACTTTCTTTTTGTAGATGCTCAAAGACCTGACATAGTTTTCGAAATCGTAATAAGAAGTTTAAAATAATTCAGTTTAATCGTTTATCTAAAGAAATATTGACTGCTTACCAATAGTACTTTAATTTTTTGTTTTGCTACTGTAGTAGTTATTTAGTTAATAATTAGCAAAACTACTATTTTTTTTATTTAGAAAGATTTCATAAATAATATCTGATAAATATCTGTAAGAACTAAAAAGATCGAAGAGACGAAAACCAATACATAAATAAAAAAAGATCTTCATTATATCTTATTTAAAGTATATCATAAGAAAATACATAATTCCTATTAAATACATATGTCTTAGTTAGTTCACATAAATAACTGTAATATCTATTTCAGTAGTTATTGGTAGTTCTATAAAAGATTTTTCAACAAGTCAGAATCTGTAACGGTCTATCCCCTTGTTTCATCATCATCAACAGTCCACTTCTTGACATAGACCTCTCCTTAGAAAAGAGGTTTTGGCCTACTATACCACGCTGGCCAGACGGGTAAAATAGGCCAAAACCAGTTTAATACTATATTTACCTACGCCCTAGATAATTACAAGTTACCAATCGTAATCAATACGAACTACAAACAGCAATATTATCGAAACTTATAAATAATTAGTAAACACAGACAATAAACAGGAAAACAATTCTGTTCTACTTTCGTGTTGACATAACTTCGGTAAATTAAATATTATTTGACCTCAAGAGGCTGTCAAGAATTTTTGCCGCGCGGAAATGGAAAATGTTGTTTATGTAACTAGTTATACAAAATAAAGAAACCACTGAATTTGTTTATGTAACTTTGATTTTTATAAAGTCCATCCATCATCCAAAACCTCATTTGCAATAACTGACAACACTGCTAGCGGAAATGGCATGGCTTCTAATTTAAGAAATTAACTTTCTTGTTGTTTTAGATATCACATCACACATCAACAGCCTTTAATAGTCCACTGCTGGACATAGGCCCCTCCTTAGAAAGGAGGTTGTGGCCTTAGGGTTTTAGATATAACAGAAACAAATTCAAATTCAAATCGCTTAATTCAGACATAGTCCATAGGGTTAGTGCAAACAAAGAAACTTAAGGACTAAAGTTAGTAAACACAATTAAATATTTTGTTCTCAATCTTTTTAGTTGCAACAGCATTAAATGTAAATATGGAAATAATTCAAAACTTACTTCATTGACATTTTCTCGTTACATTTTATTATTTGCGATACCAGAGTTACTAGTAGGTACCTACACTATTATTAAACCCATTAACATAGCAATATAGTCAAAGCCTACGTGATTATTATTCATAACAAATGAATAGCAGGTTAGGGATCAGACTTTTCTTCAATTGACAATTTGAGTTACATGATAATAAATTTGAGAAATACTTCTAAATCTATGCGTACCTACAACTTTTCTTTCCTTTTCCTATAAAATAATTTACATATGTACATATTTACGTATGAATATTATAATCTAAATATCTCATAATGTATATAAAAGAAGATAGAATGAAAACTAATCATTAAAATATATCATAAAACCTTACTCACTTAAATACTCTCTCACTTCCACCTAAATAATCTTCTTTCTACTTAGTCCTAAGAAAGAAGAATGAAAGTAAGTAAATGAGTGTATTTTATAAACACGATTGTTACTCCTACTTGTTAGTTTATGTTCTAACCACCCTTTCTTACGATTCCTGTAAAGAATCGGGCATTTCATACCTCAGTCATATTTTTTAACACAGTTTTTTTTTTACAGTTGTACAATATAAAACAAGCAGAACAAAGATAGCATTATACAACATTGGAAATCATATTTGGATTGCAATGCGTATTGTATTGCTATTTGGAGTTAAATTGCATTGAACTGTACGTCCTTGTAGTTCCTAATTATAGATTGTCATTGAGTGCTTGTCTGAGGTATTACATGCTGCGTGTGAACATAGCGCGAAAATCTACTAACAATACAATTTTTTCTCTTTCTTTACACGCTGTGCTTCATAGATTTCTGTAGAATTTTTCGTACTAATAGTTTTATAAATATGTATTTTTAAATTTTAACCAAGTACAATCGTAGTTGAAATAATACTCACGGGTATTCATGACAAATAACGATAGCTATCTTTTAAATGTTTAGTTTATGTATTCTCTTTCTCTTGTCGGCGTTTGGTATTGATAGCAGATCAGTAGCAAACGCCGACAAGATAAAAATAAGTCATTTTTCAATCCAGAATAAAGAAATGATACTACGTATATTTCTCCTGATTCACTACTGAAGGTTTCCCTTCTGAACTGTATTGGTGTTCTCAGCCACCAGCTGTATCCACACTGTCCGGTTTTCGACTTTACTGAGCGCAGCAGTTATAGTTCTGCCAGTGTTGTGTGCCACCTCTGCGTGCTTGTATTTAGCTGCTATGTATAAAAAATTGGACCTGATCTAATTTCCTTACCTGTACCATTTAAAGTCAAATACCTCTGCTGATCTTAAAATTGTCGGATAAAGCTTTGTCTAAGCAATTTATTAAAAAGTTAATAGATCAATTTACAGAACTTCGAAAGCCTGTTTAAAATTAATGGTCGTGCAATAGAACTGAATGTAACAGGTTTTTGAAAAAAATGCATAATGTAATCTGATATATAAAATATGACGATACTTGTATACAACGGTTTTTCGTAATATAATTCATTGAGAATTATATTACGAAAATACTTATTGTAGATTACTTATTGTCTCGAAACACATGGTTTAGAGTAATGAAATTCCCTAATATTTAAGAAGGATTAATATTTAACCTCAACAGTATCTAATCAGTATTCGTTTCTAACTAAATGGTAATTATGTTATTTCATAAAATAATATATTTGTTTTTATTGTTATTTCCACGTTCAGTATCAACAGTAATGCCAAATGTCACAAGTGTGCGCGGGCGCACGTTGCACACATACGCACCGACCTGCATAATGCGGTCATCGCTCTCGCGTCGATAGCGAAGTGACTTTTTTAGTTAACCAGCAGATAAGTTAGACCGTTGCTAGGGCGATATGAAGTTGCCTCATATTTACTGTTGGCTGGACTATCATCATGAGATATCAATAGAAAAGAATAGATATATAAGTTAAATATTTGTTGTCAAGGATTCTGGGAAGATTCGTTTAGTTCCTATAATTTTATGATGCGCTACCCAGTTTTATATTTCCCATACTTGTTTCACTCCCACAGAGAGAGAGGGGAGCAGATAGGTCTAATGAAAAATAAAACACTTTAAAGTTACTTTCAGAATTACTAAATGAAGGCGTATGCATACAAGATCTTAGTTGCTCTTTTATGTCTGACAGTTGTATGACAGCGACACTGAAGTGCGTTCCTCGTCACTTCTTCTTTCTGGTTCTCGTTTAACATAGTATATGACGGTAATAGAAATTAACAACTAATGAAACTATACTTATGCTTATGACTAAATTTTCTAGACATGCTTATAATAAGTATAGTTTCCGTGTCCGTGTAGTGACAGATTAAGAATACTGAATGTCACTACCCCAATTCATCCCGTGGGTGTCGTAAAAGTCGACTAAGGGAGCAAAACAACGCAGGAGAACAGCACTGCAAAAAGAAGGAAAACTTGACACAAACTCTATAATAACCCGTCTGGCCAGCGTAGTATAGTAGGCCGAAGCCTTCTTTGTAAGGAGAGGCCTATGTCCAGCAGTGGACCATTAAAGGCTGTTGGTGTAAAACTTTCTAGAAAAGTTAAGTTCCAGTTAAATTCCACTTCTTATTAGTTATTGGTGTTTTTCTTGCATAATTGTGTAAAAACAAATATGTGCTCTGATAGAAAGGGTAATCTAATAACTCAATGATTAGGCATATCTTGTATTAACTTGATTTTGACAAATATATAGTAATCTGTGAGATAACTCCATTTGTGTGACGCGGAATAAATAGTTAGGTATGTCTTCGTGAGATGACGCTGTAGAATGTTTTTGTATGCATTGTGTGATGGTGATTACGGTGGAACAAAGTCTTCGCATTATCATAGTTTTATGACAAAACAAGATTTACTGCTTAATTTATCTTGTACAAGGTTTTTTCTGAGGACTTTGTAAAATAACATTGCAAAGTTTTACAAGAATTCTTAGAAATTAAAAAAAGGCATCAACCTTTGAATAAGGAGGTAGGGCATAAAATATTCGGGGTAATGTATGTGTATGTTATCTTCAATTTTACAGAAGACTTTAGCCAATAAGTACGACAGAAGACATTTGAGTATAACTGACCTTTATATTTATTTTTCAGTTCCTCCACACAAAAGCGATATGCACCGGAAACATCTGCTACTTAACTGAAACTCGAGATTTGGAGGGGTCGGAACGTAATTCCTCACTGAGGCGAAACTACAGCAAGCAGCACGGCCGTCCAGAGGAGGACAGGCGGAAACGCTCATACTCCGACTCTGAGTCCGATTCGGACTCAGATACCGAGTGTAAAGGATATGATAGAGTAAGTATGTTAACTCAATTATAGATTTAAAAAAAAATTAAGAGTAATTATAGCTGTATTTAAGAAGGTACTTTAAGTCTTTAGAAGATCCTGGCTCGGCGAATAACCATTGATCCTATAATTAGGTTATTAAACTATAAGTAATATATATTTATGTATACAAACTAGTAGTCAAGTAATTTACGTTAATCTATTAGATCTTTAAAATATTAACATTCTGTATCTACATCATAGTCAAGCAGCTGTCTGAAACACAGGTCTCTCACCTAGCTCAGATCAGGTCAGGACTACCTGAAACACAGGTCTCACACCTGATTGCAAAAGAGTTTATAATATTTTGATTTTACTTTTTCTATTCACTCTTACACGTTTTAGAATAGTCATTTACTAGTTTTATGTTAATGTTAAATGTTTAATCGATACTAATGTTATAAATGCTACAGTGTGTCTGTCTGTTGCCTCTTCACGCTTAAACCGCTGAACCGATTTAGTTAATTTTGGTATACAGATAGGGAAAGGACATAGGATGGTTTTTATTCCAAAAATCATCGTTTAAGGGGTTGAAAAGACGGTTGGAAGTATGTATGAGGAATCAATAACCACTGAACCTATTTAGCTGAAATTTTATATGGAGATAGTTAGGGCTACTTTTTACCGCGATAACTGACCTACACGAGGGTGGAGCCGCGGGAAAAGGCTAGTCATATGTAAATTTTATCAAGACCTTATTCTTATTCTGCAAAAAATATTTTTGTTTTTTTTTGATCCAGTTTTATCTAGCAGGACCACATCGTTAGACCTAATTCATTAGTTTTTTGTGTGTATCCTAGATACAATTTCTACCAATATACTGGGTCTACCAATAGGGATGACCTGGTTTTGACAGCTCATAGCGGCCATGTTTGATGATGGATCTTTGACGTCTCTTGACATTAGTGTTCAGTAAGGTTTGCGATTTTATCATGTCACGTTTCACTTTAAACCAACGCTTGGAAATTGTCCAAAATTATTACGCAAATTCGCGTTCTCCTACCGCTACAGTAAGAGCGCTTCGCGCAAAAAACGGTCGTCATAGTGCTCCTTCTGTGCGCGCTATAAACCGCATAATAAAAAAATTTGAAAGTGAATTCACTCTCCACGATACTGCTGTGCCTGTGAGACAAAGTAAAACCCGTAGTGAAGAGAATATCGCAGCCGTTCAGGTCAGTGTTGATGCGAATTCAAATCGATCAGTTCAAAGCCGTTCACAAGAGTTGGGGCTCTCTCCCATGACCACCTGGCGTATTTTGCGGTTGGATTTGGGCCTACACTAATACAAAATTGTTTTGGCACAAGAATTGAAGCCATCCGACAATTGTATCCGTCGTGCACGGCCGATTATGCTCTGGAAATGATGGAAGCCGATGACGATTTTCATCATAAAATCATCTTTTCAGATGAGGCCCATTTCTGGCTCAATGGATTTGTTAATAAACAAAATTGTCGCTACTGGAGTGAGTCAAATTCACGTGTGGTTCATGAATCACCATTGCATCCGCAAAAAATAACAGTTTGGTGCGGTTTATGGTACGGTGGAATCATTGGTCCGTACTTCTTTGAAAGTGACGAAGGAAACCCTGTTACTGTGAATGGCGAGCGCTATAACTCGATGTTAACCGAATATTTCTTTCCGGAATTTGATGATATTGATGCAGACGACCTTTATTTTCAACAAGACGGTGCACCACCTCACATTACTCGAGTGAACATGGAATTATTGCGTGGAAAGTTTGGTCAGTCGTTAATTTCGAGAAATGGACCGATCAGTTGGCCACCGAGATCGTGTGATGATTTAACACCTTTAGACTATTTTCTTTGGGGTTACGTTAAATCTAAAGTATACAGCAATAATCAAGCTACAATTCGTGACCAAAAAACCAACATTCGACGAGCCATCAATCAAATGGTGCATCGCGTCATCGAAAATGTGCGTGAGCGGGTGACCGTCTGCAAAAAGAGCCGCCACGGTCATTTGGCCGATATATTATTTAAAACATTAATTACATAAAATTATCTATCAAATAATTCAATTGGATGCATTTTTCTTAAAAAATTGTGTGTTTTATTCAATTTTTAAACCAGGACGTTCTTATTGGTAGACCCCATACTAAGGTTTTCTTGTGGTTTAATTCTCGGTAACACAATTGGTTCTTTTATAAAAATTATGTTCGTTCTCTTATTTAAATAAGTAAACTCAAATAAGCTGAAAATTAAAGGTTCTGTTTTCCATGCTTCCCAGTATAGTCAAAACTTTAGAAGGAATATTTCTTAGGGTATCTAAAATTTAGAGTCCACAAAATTGTTAAATAAACCAAACGATGAGATATATATAACTAGCCCTATGTAAAACTCTTTACAATATTTTTTTAATTATGGTTTTATTTCACTTTTTTTTATGGTTTCTTAGACTTCTTCACTAAATGGTTTCTTAAATTCTGTTTCAGTCTCAATTCTGGCGTCGAAAGATGCGCACCGTCCACAACATCCTGGACGTGAACAAGGATGGTTTGATCTCATTCAATGATTTCCAACTCTTTGCTGAGAGGTTCAAGGCGCTTGGACATCTAGACGAGCAGCACGCCAAGGAGTTCACCAGTATTATACAGGTAATTGCATCAAACTTTAGATAGACAAATAAATACCGAATATAGTAACCAAGCAATAAAGCAATCAGAACATCTTTGAGACTGCGTACAGTCTGTAATGTACTTTATTTATATGCTATTTTAGTACTCTATATACTTCCTAACTTGGCTGAGATTATTATGGACTTCAAAACGCCATTCAATCGCCGATCTGCCGTTCTGTACCTACCCCTCGTGAAAGTTCTGACACATTCACTTTATTTTACTATAGCCATTATTCGTATAGCAGTCAATAGAATTGACAAAAACACGAGTTGATTATTAAACTAAGACTCTGGTGTCATAATGGGTGAGACTCAAATGAATCGGTTATTTAATACTGAATACTTAATTATATGTTACAATAAAGCCCCTCGTCAGGTCTGAAATGTAAAAATCGCCAAAATTATTTATTAAATACACTTTTGCAGAAAACTTGGGAAACGCAGTGGGGCGAGATAGACCCATACAACTTCGTAACCCAGGAGCAGTACCTAGAGGATATGAACCACGTGCTTAACGACCGGACCCTGAAGAAGAGAGCTTTCTCCTGGCTCCCCTATCTCTTCAAGGTAATATTTACTTTCTTTTCTCAATATCCTTCTTTGTGTCCGTTTCATGTATGTCTGTAAAGTCCCCCGCGACACAGAATATGTTCCTAGAGCGGAAGCTGTCTTTAAAAGAAGACTGAAGCTGTCTTTAAGAAGAAACTGTGGAAATAGGTTTTAAGAGAAGTTTGCGGTTAATGTGTGACGAGGGTACACCAGCGATTGGTATGTAAACTAAGAGAAAATTATTGAGATGTTGGACAGAATAAATAATATGAGATAAATATATATACATACACACAGATACATAAATACTTACCTAGTTACATACATATATATTATATAATGTTCTTAAAAAACTACACTTGTTTATAACACCTCGTAAATATAATGCATTAAATATTGTTATTGCAGGCGGTAGACAAGGACAAGTCCGGCTACATATCAGTGGTGGAGTTCAAATTGTTCTTCAAGTGTCTCGGGCTGGACAACGAACACGCCGCTATCGCCTTCGCAATCATCGACACTAATGGGGTAAGCAGACTCGCAGTCATACCGACATAAACAATTCTAATCATTTGCAATACCCGATCTCCGGCTCCTAGGAGACGCAGGAGCCGAGATCAGGTATTGCTTATGTGTGGCAGGGCTCAGGCCTCCAACATGTCCTTTAGTAGTAATTAATTACCGTAGTAAATAATCTGCCACAAGAGATCTTCACTCTCTGTCCGCGGTCCCTCAATTACCCTTAACCGTTAACTTATAACAAATTGAGGGGCTTGTTGGTCTAGTCGAGAGCAGCCTGTCAATAGACAATGAAAATAGACTACATGTATAAAAATATTTACGCTGAACAGGAATTTGATGTTTGACCAAACGACCTGTCAAACCCTGTGCCGTTTAGGGTTATCAAAATAAATAATCTAATTGATCTTGTCTTTTTTCTAGGACGGAAAGTTATCGCTGAAAGAGTTTGTGAAACTCGGCAAAGACTTCTTCTTCACGGAAGACGAAACTAGAGTATCCAAAATGTTTTGGGGACCACTTATAGACTAAGTCATTGCAAAATAAGCTTTAATTGTTAGAATGTAGGAGTCAATTTTGACTGTTTTGTTTTGATTGTAGTTTTAAGTTATGTTACACTAAATTAGGAGATATGTAAAACAATTGATTTACGTTATTAGGAAAAAAAGCTATTGAAAATTTATTATTAAAATCTCTGTACCGTTTCTAAAAAATAAAAATACGCCTAACGCCATCTAGTGTAAACGAGTCGATTTATGTTATATACTATGGAGCAAATAGATCCTGTATCGCGACATTAAAGTTTACACGAATAATTTGAATGCTTGGACTATTTGTAATAAACTCTGTGATTGAAAAATCTCATACCTTGTAACAAACAGGGCGTGATGTTTTTCAAACACAGTTTATCCATACTTTTGGCGTAGTAAAATGACTTCATAAGACTCAGTTTTGCTTAGTGTTAGAAACAACTCTATCTTATTAAGTTTATTTTAATCAAGTAAGGCATTCCTATTGTTATTTTCGACAGTCATTCATTTTACGAATGTAAAATATATAATAAGTTTTAATAAATAGATTTTTGAATACATGTTTTTAACTGACGAGGTTTTCCTTAAGTATACTTGACAGGATTTCTAAAGAAAGGAGTATTAAAGAGGCGATAACGCGCTTTGTAGTTCCATTTTTTTTTTTGGTGGCGACATGATATAACAATATTTTGTTTGTACACACATACACGCACGCATTTTTATACTTACAATGTTTCGGACATCTGACACATAACGCCATCTAGTTTCAAACTACACAAAATGAAATTAAACGACATTTATTCAAATATAAGAAATAAAAGACCGGACAAGAGTTTGAAATCACAATTTACCTGAAAAACTATTAATCTGAAACAGTAATAAATACTAAGCATGTTGATTGCATATTCGGAAATGGTCGGACATATCCGTATATGAAAACTGAAATTCATATAAAAATAAATAAGATATATTATTATATTAAGATGAATGAAGAATTTTTTTAATGAAAAATATTGTTTTAATAGTTTCTTCATACATAACATCTTTCCTCTGCGATCTGTGGGAGTAGTTAAGAACTCCGTGTAGTGACGGGTTAAAAATATGGAGTGTCACCACCTCTATTCGTCTCATGGGTGTCGTCAGAGCGAACTGAGCGAGCAAACTATGCAGGACGACAGCACTGCATATAAAAGGAAAACCAGCGCGGTATAGTTGTTCAAAACCTCCTTTCTAAGGAGAGGCCTATGTCCAGCAGTGGATTATTAAAGGCAGTTCTTGATGATGATTGATTTAGGACGGAAATGCGTAACAGGAAGCGGGTTTGATTTGTCCAGTGAGCGCGCTAGAGTTGGCCATCAGATGGTGTAAAGCTCGATCAGTTTATTTCAGTATGGCTCAAGTATTCAGCGCCTATGCAAAAATTAAAATTTTACACCACTACATAACACGCGAGAAGCTAAAATATTGAAGTAAAGTTACATGCTAATAAATAATATACCTTATTTAATTCACACATTTATTCAGAAACAAACACAAAATACATGCCAGCTTAAACAATCAGGAGTATTTAAACAAAAACTAAAAACATTTCTTAAATAATAAACAAATTGGAAGTACTTTTAACAATAAAATAGGTTAGCAGAATTAAAATAGGTTTCTTGAATTTGAATTGGAACAAGCGGAATTTGCCAAATTGGTTCATAAATGGCGGTGGTCTGACTTCAGAACTCTGTCGCAAATATAAAAAAAAACCTTTTTTTTAAGTTTTTAGGATGAAACAATGTATTTAACATATAAAGAGTTAAAAAATGAGTGGTAAGTATAACTACTATTGTCTAATAATAAGATAAAACGGACTGCGTGTCTGTTTCATCTTATTTTATGTAAGATAAGTCTAAGTAATGTTAGGTAGTTAACAATATTTAAACAATACTGAGTTGGTCTTTGAGTAATTTCGTCTCTTCTATGAGCGTAGATATTTGGCTGGTTCTGAAAACAAACATTTTGTTATTGTTATTATAATATTAACTAGCGATCCGCCCCGGTATCATTGTGGAGTAATTAATCATTATGATGGGACTATAATACAGGACATCTTTATATAAAACTAGCTGACCCGCGCAACTTCGTCTGCGTCTCTCAATAGTAATAAATTTTCTCCGTTTTTGAAACATTCTTCATTTGTGCTCCGCTCCTATTGGTCTTAGCGTGATGATATATAGCCTATAGCCTTCCTCGATAAATGGGCTATCTAACACTGAAAGAATTTTTCAAATCGGACCAGTAGTTCCTGAGATTAGCGCGTTCAAACAAACAAACAAACAAACAAACTCTTCAGCTTTATAATATTAGTATAAAATATAGGCCGGCTCTGCTCCCACCGGCCTCTATCACCAGGGACGGACGTACGACCCAACGATAGCCGATTTTCCCCACATTTTAAATCTCTGATATCTCCTAAGATATTCATTTTAATGATATGCTGTACAGGACAATTTTGTTTTACATTAAATGTACAACGTATATAACGTATTTAATTAGATAGTGAATAATACTGTATTGTTCTAAATAGCTTCGTATTAACTCATATTTTTTTTATAAAATGTAAAAGACAAAAATGGTTACTGTGGGTTATCCTTAGGACATACCATCCAGGAGATTTTGTAGATCTTTTTAAGATATACAATTCTGTTTTACATTATTTTGGTCTATCTCTTAAGGTTCAGCCAGCGTTTGTAACGTAATATCTCACACATCTCACACACGGCCGTCTGATCCCAAACTTGCCAGAGCCTGTAAGTTTTCATCACACAATATTTGTCCTGGGTGGGAATCGAACCCACGACCTCTGGATTAGTAGTCAGGATCAGGATTAACCATTAGATCAACAGGCCCGTTTTATATCATTACAGTTATGTTTTCGTCCTCAGACCTACTAAGAAGATTGTGAAATCTGCAAAATTTCAGGATCATTTAAAAATAATAGTTATAATGGCTACTTAATAATTCAAATAAATATGGATTCTAGTACCTCTACTAGAATGAATGTTTATTTTATAAATGTGAAAGTGAGTTTTTAAGCTATTGCATAGCGGGCCTTGAGCGTGGAGACCGAATCCAGAAATTCCGTAACGAAAATAACCTAACACACCCCACGTGATACTTTTTAGTTTTGCCATCTATCGATGAATAGAAGAACTTTTAATGACTTTTTTGAAATATCACGCTTGTCTCTTTAGATCAGCGACTCGCCTCTAGGTGGCATTGGTTGTATTGGCGTTACTGCGCATGCGTATTCCCCTTCTTCACCCCGCAATCTAATTAATATCAAAGAAAAAAAACAAAGGACAAAAAATACTGCATAAATAAATAAATAAATAATTATAATTGCATAAGTTGATAAAAAATGCTATGCAAGCTTTACCGCGGCAGTCCTCGAGTGCCACACGTCTTTTTGTTACGCTTTTAGGTCTAAACCGATTTAAAAAATTCTTTACAAATGGAAAGCTATATTATCAGTGAGTAACATAGGCTAATTTATACCGCGATAACCGACATACACGCGGGCGGAGCTGCAGGCAAAAAATAAATATGAACTTACTGTTGTTGCAGTATAGAGGAGATGGTGTCGCTGTGGGACTTGCCCAGAGCTATGTCCTTCTTTTTGTATTCTTCGTGCCATTTCTCCAACTGGAAGTATATTTGTATGATTTTATTATTCACGTGGAAGTCGATAAGAAAGGATAAAAAGAATTAAAACAAGTTATTACGGTGCCTTTTGATCAATACGGGTGGTGGTGGTACTGTACGGTGCACCGGTGTGGGCGGGGCTCTGAGCGCCCAAAATAGGCTGAGTCTGTGGCGCCTTCAGGTTAGGTTTATTAAGAAACCCTGGCACATCTTGGCCATATCGTCAAAAATACAGAGCCACTTGAACGTGTGTGAAAGCCTCGCTCAGCAGGGGCCGTTTCACTCGTCCCCCGGGTCAGTAGCCATAGAGATCGGTGATGGCAGACGTTACCTGTTCAGTTTTGTTCCTGGCGTACTCCTTGAGCATGAGGATCTGTTCCCCGAGCTGTTCCCCGCTCCGCTTGTAGAGCAGCAGCTCTCCCAGCAGCTGTCGCTCGACGGCGCTGCTGGCGCTGGGCGCGCGCAGACCGCGGATCACCGCCGAACATCTGACAACAACCACCTTCGACTATGTATGATCACGTCATTATTTTTAAACAGGAGGGGGGCCTGGTCTATATTTATTCTCCGGGTAAGCTAAATGCCACATCCTCATGAACCTTACGAGACCATAAAACACTCTTCATTATCTAAAAAATATATTCTTCGTAGATAGGAAAATAGCGATAAGTTGAAAAAAAAAAACCCTCCATTAAATCTGCAAGTCGCTTCGCCCCTTGACAAAGGGTCCCCATTGGTCCTGGACAAACACGTAAATGTAACGTGAATCGATAATAAAATATTACAGTACCTCAGCAATTATTTAGCCGAAACAAGATTAAATTAAATTAAATTAAAATGGAATGTATTTTTGTAAAAAGGTTTGTCTATTTTAATGTTATACTGACTAAATTAAATTAAAATGGAATGTATTTTTGTAAAAAGGTTTGTCTATTTTAATGTTATACTGACACTTGCAACTTTTATTTAAAAAAAAGATTTAATATTTACATTTTTTTAAAAGACATCTCCCGCATTAGAAATATATATCCAGTCTCCCGGGGAACTTTACAAACATAAATGAAACGAACACAAAAAACACCCAAACTTAACATCAATTTGGGGATCACACAAAGTGCTATCCCATGTGGGAATCGAACTCACAATACTCAGCGCAGTTGGAAGCGGCGCGGCAACTGCTTAAACCACTACGCCATTCGTGCAGTCAAACTTAAGAGTCATGAGTGCGGTGGCGCCCTTTCATTCCTTCAACCAGAACATCGGACAAGGGGGGTTGGGTTCCGGTAATCTCAGTCACTCATAACTGCTTAACACCGGTTTTCTGAGCCCGTGGATTCACTTCGGTCGAGCCTGACCCATGTGTGTGGTACTGAACGTAAGTGAACTGGTATTGAACATATCTTTAATGTAATAAATACTAAACAAATCACCTGTATTTGAGGTCATCTTGGTGTTTCTCAGCCAGTAGACACTTCTCTTTCAAAACTGCTGACTGGAGTTGCACTTCATCCATTTCTTTCTGCAATTGCCAAGCACATATAATAGAAACTTTTGATAAATATTCTACTGAAATCCTTAATGCTTTATTATCGGTGACCACTCGTCGATAACACTACACTGTCATGTCAAATATATCAGGAGACCCGTCTTGTTTGCTCCCTTTACCACAAAAAAAATATATCCAGGATCCTATCACTGCATTCTGATAAGTTACGGTTTGATATATTTTTAAAGTTTTTGTTTGCCCATCCCCATACAATGGGGTATTTTGTTAATTAATTATCTATTTTTATATTTACCAACCTGTAAGTCTTGCAACCACTCGCCGTGATGTGAGCAAAGCGACCGCAACGCAGTCAGTTTGTTTGTGATCGCGTCGGTGGCACGTTGCTGACGCGACATGTACTCGCCGCGGAGTTTCAATGTCGCTTGAGATAAAAACTGCAAAAAAAAACTTCATCAGAGGCATTCTATTTAAACAAAATTTATTTGCACGACATCTAGCGAAAACAATCCGAACTATGTTATTACTACTGCTACGTAACTGTTGATCCTACATCGCATACTGAAAGCTATTAATTGTATGTATTTGAAATATATACACCTCCTGAATATTTATAAGCAAGATTCTTAGATCAAACGACGCAGTTAAGCTGCCATGTTGGGAAGCTGTGCATATTACAAGACGAAGTGCGAGAAATTTCGTTATCTCGTCACTAGATGGCGCAAAACTATATTCTTGTTATATATGGATATCGTTACGTACTTGTGAACATTTAATTTGTAGTCCATAAACTTATGATGAAACGATTATTCTGTATCAAGTTAAAAAGAAAGAAAAAGAAAACATCGACGCTTGAGTAAAACTAAGCTACATAATTAATAATAATATATCTCACACATCTCACACACGGCGGTCTGATCCCAAACTAGGCAGATCCTGTGCTATGGTAACCAGACCGCTGATAAACATACTTATATATTTCTAAATACATACATATTGTAGATAAATTACACCCAGACACAGAACAAATGACCGTGCTCATCACACAATATTTGTCCTAGGTGGGAAATCAAACCCTCTGGCGTAGCAGTCAGGCCCATCAATTATTATAAGTGTTAAATTATTTGTGTGAGCATCACGCGCCAGCTGAATAGGATTTTGTTCAGGACCTGCTCAACAGTTGTCTAACGTTGGTTTTTATCCAGTTCTTATATTACTTTAACTATATTTACTCAGTCTTAGGGGTTTTGAAACGAAGTTCCTTATCTCGCGTTACACGCTCAGAGCGAATGGGGACGAACCGAATAATATGTAACAAGACTGTTTTCCGACACTTTTTCATCCATAGGACCACTCACCCCGTTTTCTTAAACTATTTTTAACTTGCCTAACAAAAACAGTTATTATTTAAATAAATTTTTCATGCATAGTATTTATAATTATTAAAAATATCGCGGCAGGACGTTTCCACATCCGAGTCAGGTTCGAAACTAGCCAAGCAAACTCAAAATCCACATGTTAAAATCTTTTATAAATATTTCTTTGTCATTTTATTAGAAAAGGCTCTACTAATGCCTAGTGTAGAACTACTAATAACTTACTTCTAGGCACTCCTTGGGGCTGGGTTCTTCTTTCTTAGAAATGTTTAGTATTGGCTGAGACACATCCCTCGTTAGAATCTCCTTCATGATGGATGAGAACAAAACCTTCTGTCTCTGAAATTAATATCGTGTATGTTAGTTTTATACTGGAAACTGCTGGTCATACTCAAAGGAAAATGTAAAAATTACCAAACAATAAAACAACATGGATGTTTTATTTTATAATAGTTTTGCTTGCGGCTTCGTTCGCTTTAATGTCAAAGCAATTTTTCTAGGATAAAAAGTAGCATATGCATATGATTTAATATATAAAAAAGGTGTTAAATATTTTTTTCTCTAAGAATTGTTTCTATTTAAAAACTAGTTAAAATTTAAAAATATCCTGTCGTAACCATAATTTTAGTAACTTTATCTGAAGACCAGCTATTACTGATTTCGTGTTTGTAACTTAAAAAATAACAAAGTTTCATACAACCGTTCCACCTTTATTTTAGTAGGTACTTACAAAATATATACATATGTTACCGGCAATCTGTATAATACGGTATTCTATACAATACCTAGGCAATGTATAGAATACCTAAGGCGTCTAGGCAATGTATGTAATAATTTTCATTTTATACTTTGCCTAGGCATTCTATACAATACCGAATGCGCTGCCGGCGATGTGTGTAAAAGACGTTAGCAGGGAAGGGAGAGTGCGGGCAGGCAGTCAACGCGTTTCGACTTGTTCATGTCTTAAAAGAAAGATTTTATGCACTTCAAAATGTCACAATAGTTCTTCATGTAAAAATAAATAATATTTTTTTACTTACTTAATTCTGAGAAGCCAGTACATCACGTCCTATTTTTACAGAATTGTTTTGATGGCTAAGTTTTTTAACTGATTACTTATGTGTTAATTAGATTATGTTCATCATCTCTTTGCAGTGTGACAATCCGTATTCTTAATCCGTCACCACACGGATACTATTTACTAATTGTTTATTTTAATAATGTTGATTTTAAGCAAATCTAATGTGTTATTTTTGTCTGCCATTTTATACCCTCCTACTTACTTACTTACTTAACATTAATAAATAAAGGTCCAAATATAGTTATTTTACACATTGCCGGTGGTTCAACAGGTACTCTATACAATACCTAGGAATTGTATACATTACCTAGCTAAAGTATATAATGAAAAATAATATTCATAATATTTCCAACATTTCCTAGACGCCCAAGGTATTCTATACATTACCTAGGCATTGTATAGAATATCTGAATTATACAGATTGCCGGTAACATACATAAAACATCAGCTGCCAAAATTTGAAGTTTGTGGCCCTCGCAGTTTAGTCAGGGCAAGTATTTTATTTGTACTGATATTAACTTTCCTTGTGGAAAAATCACAGTTAGAACATCATTTAAAAAAGAATAGTCGCTTACGTTACCAACCTCTTTCATGATAATATTGATGTCGTCCTGTTCTAACGCTGGGTTCTTCAGTTGTAGTTCTTTATACAATTGCTCTTCTAAACCAAAGGGTTCCAATATTCTATGGGATGATAAAAAGCATTATTAGCACGATATGGTCCACAGTTATATTTCTTTATTAAAATATTATACCTAAAAAGTTTTGCCTTAATGTTTCAAATAAAATTGGAATTTGGAATAGAATTTGCGTTTTATAGAAAAATTCTAATGATTCATATCGATATTCGGTACGATTTATAGGACCAAAGTAGTGACTACCTTAGTGAAATTGCTGGAAATCGACAGTGCATAAATAAACTTAGATATAGAGGCATATTAAAGACGCATTAAATACCTACTTACCTATAGTAAAAATAATCTAAGAAGTGCATTTTAATAAGTGAAACTGATGTTATGTGACTAGAGAACGCAACTTTGCACACGAACAAAACAAAAAACAATTCTAATTAAAGTAAAACCATTTTTAAATAAATAAAATTTTAAGCCACTGACTTGAATTAATGTGATAGGACTTATTTCACTTTAATTTCTGCAAATAATTTAGACAATCGCTTGATTCTTTATTTCTGATGTCCTAAAACAGTTACGTTTTATGATTTGTATTTTTTAATTTTAGTGTTGCGGAGTTAAAGATTATTAGAATTATTTTACAAATTGTATATTAATTAGCAAGGGGGTTGCTAACTAGAGATCGTCTTGGTTGTAATTAGTTTATTTATTCGCTTTTTCACTTGAATTTTATGCTTTTCGTATAATTAAACAATAAATTCATGTTTATTTTAAAGACTGATGTAATTTAAGAATTTTAAAGAATGATGTATTTTAAATTAAAACATCTATAAGTGTGTACACAAAAATAAAATAAATCGTTATTACAAAATGTTAAAAGTAGTCCTAACGAACTCGTATATTCTTTTTACAATGATAACGAAATAAATATTTTTTTATGAATTGTTACTAACCCAAAGAAATTATGAAACAAGAAACATTGCCCTTACATCAAGAATATGGATAGCTTAGTTTTTGACATTAAAACTAGTGCATTATTTATGACACTACTGCGACGACAGCAGCGAGTGCTGGCCATCAAGGTCATAAGGGGGTACCGCACGGTCTCCTTTGAGGCGGCGAGTCACCGTGGGACCTGGAGGCGAAAGCCCTTGTGGCTCTGTATTAGTGGCGCAAGGAGGCGTGGGAGTTGGGTCGGAGTTCTGACACTCGAGAAATCGAGGACCAGAAATCCTAACTCCACCAGGTCCTTGGCTCGAAAGGCAACACGGAACTTTCTCATTCCGGCTGAAGCACGTGATCACCGGAAAAGATGCTTCAGATATCACCTGTGTCTGATACGCAAGGAGCCAACGCCTGATTGCTACCATTGTGATGGCCAGACCGTGGACACGGCGCTACACACGCTGGGAGAATGCCCGGCGTGGGTGGAGCAGAGGCGTGGCCTTGTGGTCGCCATCTGATTGGGAATTCTCTCGCTGGGCCGTCGTCTCCTTCTGCGAGCAAGTTATGCTTGCGAAGTCTATGGCGAAGCGGGACCGGGAGAGGTTTAGAGCTCTCCTGGCCCGCCAGGCCCGGGAACGGGCCAGGTGCCGCAGACGACTCAGGTAAGGCCATCTGTCACCCTAGCAGAAGCAGGCTGGTGTGGGTGGCGGCGCGACGCGTAAAAGAGCATACACGCCCTTCAGGGGCAGGAAGGGAATCGGAGTTCCCATACAGGAGTGGGTCATCTATAAACCGTCCATCTATAAACCGAGGTACGTTGGAGTACCAGAGCTTTCCTTTCTAGGGTATACTATGTGCCCTGGCTACTGGTACCTGGAGACGATGTGCGGTTGTTGGGTATCCGAGGGGAGTTCCGCACAGGAAAAAAAGTGTATTATTTATGATAATGTCCAGAATCGTAAAATTAAAAAGTTTGTGGTATGTATGACGTCAGCGGCGACCATCGCGGCATGCCACGCTTTGCGACTGCGTAGAATGAGTACTCCTCATTCGCCTTCGGCCGATGAGACCTAATTATAATGAACGGTACCTAGTCCTTACACCAGAGTAATCCAAGTGCAAAAAAAAAACGACGGGTTACACTCCAGGAGTGCCGGCAGAAGTGAAAACTTGAATGGAATGGTTAGGGAATAATTTTGCACAAATTGCTTTAATTATCAGTATAAAAGTACTATCATTTATGTAGTATAATACAATATTTATTTATTGCGCTATCGTACACAAACATGACAATTTATATTACATTAAAAAGTTTATCTCTCAGAAAAACGAACATTCGCGCAAGCGCCCTGCGCCACCTAAACGAAACAGCAGGCGCAGGTATACATTTTCGCCGCGCTGTAGAAAGAGAGGGGGATACTTCCTCTCCTACGCCGCGCCGGCTGTCTACTCTTATGTCCGTCTTACGAATTTTCGATCAGGTCACGTGTCTTGACGCGAGTTTAACATTTTTTACCCATAACAAGAAAAGTGTACAACGCCGCTAAAGAAGTTTTCACTTCAAAAAAAGTAAATTAAAATTACCGATTTCCATTTCCAGTTGCGTTTCTGAGCCACAATAGTGCCTAATAAATTTAGCTCAATCTGAGAAATGCACTCGCGATCAAGCGGACCGGACAAGAAGACAGAGACTTTTTTTTTTTTTTTTTTTTTTTTTTTATTTAAATAAGAAAACAGCATAACATAAAAACATGAAACACCCATAAAACACGTATTGGTTTATCTTGGGTGTGAGTGTACATTCCTCATTCCTTTATGTTTCGTTTGTTTATTCACTATAATAACAATAATTTTAATAGAAATACACTGGTAGCAGTACAATAAATAAATAAAAGGTGCAGGGTAGGTGTTAAATATTGTTTTCGAAAATATTAAATATTTCGGACATAAATATATGTGCGAAGGTGTCAGCTTAGTCCTAAAGCAGCTCTGCTCTAGAGATGCGGCGTTACCTGGCGAGCAGCGTGGCGTCCGAGCACAGCACGAGCAGGCGCGGCAGGGGCGGCGCGCTGAGCGCGAGGCCGGCGGGGGGCGCGGGGGGCGCGGGGCGCGCGGCGGGCGAGGGGGGCGCCGCCGCCGTGCACACCAGGTGGCGCGCCGCGCTGCGGGCGCCGCACATCGACGACAGCGCCGACTCCGTGTCCGCTGTGGGCACCGGTTGGGATCACTGCTACGCTTACTCCTCTAAATTTATTTTTTTAAAAGACAACTCCCACACTAAGAATATATCTTGTGTCGAGACTTTACACGAAACGGACACGTAGAACGTCCAGACTCAGAACAACGATTTCACACGATATTGTCCCATATGGGGATCGAACCCACATACTCATCTCAGTAGAAAGCGGCGAGGTAACCGCTCAAACCACTACACCATCCGTACGGTTAAAAATAAGTACATATTTTATTATGCCCAGCAAAGACAGTGATTTGAAAGGAATTCTTGTAATAACAGTGCAGTTACAATTTAGTTCCGATCAACTCTTGACCTCACAACTGTCATAAAAGATATTTTCCTAGTAAAGTATTAAACATTCAACGTTGACTGTATTGCCATTATATCTATATATATATACTAGCTGACCCGCGCAACTTCGTCTGCGTCTCTCAATAGTAATAAATTTTCTCCGTTTTTGAAACATTCTTCATTGGTGCTCCGCTCCTATTGGTCTTAGGATGATGATATATAGCCTATAGCCTTCCTCGATTAATGGGCTATCTAATACTGAAAGAATTTTTCAAATCGGACCAGTAGTTCCTGAGATTAGCGCGTTCAAACAAACAAACAAACTCTTCAGCTTTATAATATTAGTATAGATATATAAAAGAGATTTCCACGTATATAGTCACTCATCACGATATCTCTGGAACCATTAGAGCTAAAGACTTGAAATTTGGTAGGAATATTCTTTTCACCGAGTAGAGGTCAGCTAAGAACGGATTTTAAGAAATTCAAAAAAAAAACAAAAATTTAAATAATGTAAATAGCAAAACAACGTTTGCAGGGTCAGCTAGTCATATTATAACCGAAAAAATAAATCGGTAATCTCCTAGTCTTAATAATAATTTACTATTTTACTACAAAAACACCTTTCATAACAGCTGCAAGATCGAGCGTTGATCAAAACTGAATGTTGACTGAACTCTAATTACGAGAACAAACCTTCTGTTTTATTTTCAGACAAACATCTCTTATTTGCCGGAGCCGCTTATGCGGACAATAGTCGTTCCTATAGCTAAAAACAAGACGGGAGATACATCTGATATAGGTAACTACCGGCCTATCTCGCTCGCTACCACAACAGCCAAGGTGCTTGACAGTTTGCTTGACAGTTTGCCTCAACGAACAGGTTGAGTTGCACGATGCACAGTTCGGTGTCAGAGCAGGGGTCTCAACAGAGAGCGCTATTCTGAGTATGAAGCGAACTGTCGGGTACTACACAGCGAGGAGGACGCCGGTATATGCGTGTTTCCTCGACTTGTCAAAAGCTTTTGATTTGGTTGCCTATAATATACTGTGGGACAAGTTGAGGGATGCGGGTGTGCCGGCGAAGTACACCTCCCTCCTCAGATATTGGTACTCTAATCAAAGGAACCGAGTGAGATGGGTGGGTACTCTGTCGGGCGAGTACAGGCTGAAATGCGGAGTTAGACAGGGAGGATTAAGCTCGCCTCTGCTATTTAACATTTATATGAACCGGCTTATCGAGCGACTGAGCGGCACACATGTCGGCTGCCATATTGACGGAACCTGTGTTAATAATATAAGCTATGCAGAGGATATGGTGCTCCTTAGTCCATCGATAGGTGGGTTGAAGAGGTTGATATCGATCTGTGAGGCCTATGCGGCGGAGCATGGCTTGATATACAACTCGAAAAAGAGTGTTCTACTCATATTTAAAGCGCCTAATCAGCAATCACGTATTGTTCCGCCCATAAGTCTCAATGACGTAGCGCTAAACACTGTAAATAGTTTTAGGTACCTGGGCCACATTGTCACGACCGACCTAAGGGACGATGGAGACATAGAGAGGGAGCGCAGGGCATTGTCTGTGAGGAGCAATATGCTTGCCCGCAGTTTTGCTCGTTGTGGCGAGGATGTCAAAGTAACCCTTTTTAGGGCGTTTTGTCAGTCTTTCTAGGCGAGCGGCCTGTGGGTGTCATACACGCGACGGGCGTACAATGTCCTGCGTGTTCAATATAATAATGCGTTCAGGATGCTGTTGGGGCTGCCGCGGCGCTGTAGCGCATCAGGTATGTTCGCGGAGGCTCGCGTAGATGATTTCTACGCAATTATGCGAAAGAAAGCGGCTTCCTTACTCCAGCGCCTACATGACAGTGACAACAGCATTCTGAAAATGATCGCTGCCAGACCGGACTGCCCATTTCAGAAACAATGGGTGGGGACAGTCATAGGTCTATACAAATAGTTAATTTAAGTAAAAAAAAAAAAAATGTAAGTACTAATAATACTAACCTATCAACTTGAGCACTATTGTTACTAACACTAAAATACTAACATAAATATGGACCATAAGTCTGAAATAAACTTTATTATTATATTATTAATCAAAAGCCAAAAGCGATTTAACCTCGAATAACATTTTATAAATTCGATTAATCGATCGATCGATTACGATTAATCGTAAATTTAGACCCATAGGTGTTCCATCTTACTGGCCGTTCTAATCACGAGACAAATATTTTTATAAATAGATTTTTTTATTTCAATCGTGATTCCCACCTAGCTAACTCAGTCTTGCAGTTTTGCTTATCCAAATTTAGTTTGCTTTGGCCTTAAGAACAAGCCTTAAGAACCACAGTCCAACTCCAATTAATATTAAGAAAATGGCCATTATCTCATAATTTACAAAAATTATATTTGTATCTATTGCAGTTTTTTTTTACATTCACAACTTTAAATTTGTAATCACAAACAAAAACAGATCTGAGTCTGTTTATTAGTTTTCTAAAACCCATAGTGAAAACTTTGTTTATATTAAGTCTATATAGCAATATTTACTGGGACATATTTACGAAAACTTTTCGTTAATTAATTAATTGGCTCCAAAGACAAAAAAATCCTAATAATTTATCGGACTCGCAATGTCAAATCCAAAAATCCATGATGGCATAAACACTGCTCTTTTAACTTCTGTTTTAGCATCATGAATTAACTTTAATTTTAAACAAAATTTAAGAAACATTTACATTGCATTAATTACTAAATTAACATTTTAATTCCATACCTTCATCAGCCATGACGAAATCCACGAGATGTTCCAGCATGGGCAGCGTGATAGCGTGCACGCCACCAGCATGCATGCACGCATACGTATTGTGCGTACAAGGAAACAGTAGCACGGGGTATGAATACTGCAATTCGCTTTCCATGTTCAATACTATGTTCAATTCCACTGCCTCAATTACATACAGTGCATGGCTGTCACAGTCATCTTTATCAGTTGGCTGCAAACAAACATGACGACACTTAAGTGCTAACACCGCACAATTATTTATTTTTGTGGATTCAGTCATCATCCTGATCCAGTCCAGTCTTTTTTCCAAACTAGGTTGAGATCGGCTTTTAGGTTATTACGACACGATTGAACTTCGATTTATATACATGGAGCTGCTATCAGACTTCCAGGTTGCTCCACGTGTAAAAATCACCAGAAGACACCCCAAGTACAAGGCGATGTCTAGGTTCTGTAGATTTACTGTTGCCAGACTTTTAGGGCTTTAATGCTGATTCAGCAATTAATGTATGTTAGTTAATTACTTACATTAGGGAGTAGCATACAGTGGTAGAGTTGAGCCGAGCAAGTGGCAACTACCACCAGAGGCGGTGTGTCTCCGCCTCCGAGAGCCGTGATCGAGCAAGACTCAGAACCGTAGTTATCATCGGCGGGCGGGTACATCGCTAGTGGACCGGTCAGCTTCGCTTTGATTGGACTGAAATTTACATATATTGTTTGTACGAAAAAGTAATGGTATTAGTTTATTATGCAATATAATAAAATGGTAAGTCTTAAATGTGGTTAAAATACCCTTATCTCATTTTACCATTAGAAATCATTACCGTATAGTGAGGAAGTCTCAATGAAAAACCCTAGACTCAAAACAATTTTATGTGAATCACCAAAATTATTGTCTCAAGTCTGAGTCGAATTCGGCTGCCTAATACACTTAACCAATTTTACATTACGAAAACCATGCATTATTGCATTGAAACCAAATAAATGAAGTGAGGTTCTGGTCTTAAAGCCAAGCTTCATACACCGTATGTTGCATATGAAGAAAAAGAAATTGCTTAGAGCAGACAATTGCAGAAAAAAAACTCAATCAGTTCAAAATTGTTTATGCACACGAAACGATACCTTAACTTACTTCTGTACGCTTTATCGCGTGTTAATTTTAATCCGCTAACCTAACCGTTAAAAATTTACTTTTCATTAAAACAAATATAAATGCTTACTGCTTGCTATCCAACTCGCATTGCATCATGTAAACATCGCCGTTCCCTCTTAAAATAAGCAGAGTGTCTGAGTCAGGAGTGGGGGTGAAGTCCACGGCAGTATCTCCGAGGCTGTCGAGGATAGTCCTGCCTGCCAGCTGACTAGATGGCTTTGGACCAATGGGTAGAATTTTCACCAGTTTTGGACCGCTTTTAAGAGCTATGTTGTAGAGCCTGTGGAAGCAAGGTATTTATTTAATACAAGCACGTGTTATATTCTTACTTACCAGTGATGCTACATATTCATTATAATAAATCTCTTTTCTTGGTAGGAAAAAAACTCTACTATACAAGTAATAAGGTGTTTCTTATTTTGCTTTTTATATAAAAAATAAAAGTTAATAAAACTAAAAAACTTACTTTTGTTACTAACCGAACTAAAAGGTAGTTTTTTATAAGTTCAAAAAACAAATAGACCGGTTAAGTAAAAAAGGCATTTTATCGCAAAAAAACGTGGGGTGCTAGATGTTAATTGTTGTATATGAGAAAACAATTACTCAAGAGAATATCTATTGCAATATAACATTAAATGTAGGCATATAAGTACACGTATTATGCTCTACTCGTTGCTTGTAAATAACAATTTGTACAGTATTTCCTTACCTGATAGTGTTATCGGACCCAAGCACAAGAAGATGTGATAGAGAAGTGGGATGCCAATGGACTCGCCGAACCTCTCCCGGGGAGTAATGGAATCTTTCATCAAGGGAGTAACTCCTAAAAGGAAAAACATTTATTTTAACAATAATAATAATATTCATCATCATCAACAGCCTTTATTAGTACGCTGCTGGACATAGGCCTTTCCTGAGAAAGGAGCTTTTTACCAACTATACCACGCTGCCCGGACAGATATTAAATTAAAAAAAAAATCATAATAAGATATGTTATTTTGAAATTTGCACCTAGACTAGAGAAAGCATTCTGGGCAGAAAATATTAAAGTTCATTTTTGTAGCTTAATCAATTCTCCGTCGACTACGCACTATACTTATTTGTTTTAGATAATATTATCACATAAAAAGTTACAAACGAACTGTCAAGGACGACGCTATCCTCACGTTGCTATCCTAATAATTTGATTATTACCGACGCCATTTTGTTTTTCCTCTTTTTGCGAGGCCAGCGGTCTGGATTAATCGTGCGTTAGAAAGCTTTCTTGGCGGGATTTACTTGTTTAATATTAAAATGGGCCTCTGTGATTCCAAACCGAAGGTGGGTTATACAAAAATGAGCCACATTTTGCGGTGAACTGATTTATGAAAGACATTTTGAGGTTATTGGACGTCGTTTATTTAATGATTTGCTTTTTTCTTGTAAGTTTTAGAAGCACAGTAAATATTTAGAGTGGGTAGATTTAGAATATATATACCTAGATATTATATTATACGACACAATATTATCAAGTTAAAAGATTTAAAAACTGCTTATCTTTTTGAAGTGAGTGCAGTGGTAGCGTATGCGACTGCTGTGCTGAGATATCGGGTTCTATCCCGGGTCGGACCAAATGTTTGTATGATCGGTAATTTCGTCCTTCCCCTAAAATTAGGGGAGGGACGGATTTGAGTTCAAAAAATCAGTACAATTTTAGATTACTGTATTAAACAAAACAAACGGTCTTCAGGTTTAAACAACGACTGCTTCGGTGGTGCAGTGGTAGCGTATGCTGTGCTGAGGTCTCGGGTTCGATTCTAGGTTCAGATCAAATGTTTGTATGATCTGCGAATATTCGTTTGTAAGTTTGGTAGTTTCCATGTATTATGTGTGTGTATTTACAAAAAAAAGTAAAAAATATATATTTAAGTATTCTATTAGTCAAACAAGCTTTCATAGTACAAGCTCTACTTAGTTTGAAACTAGATGGCGTTGTGTGTGTGATGTCGGAAATATTATTATATTTCGAGTTTTACTGGCCTGTTGGCCCAGTGGTGACCCTGACTGCTATGCCAGAGGTTATGGGTTCGATTCCGACCCAGGACAAATAATTGTGTGATGAGCACAGTCATTTATTCTGTGTCTGGATATAATTTATATATAATATGTATATTTTTAGAAATAAATAAGTATGTTTATCAGCAGTCTGGTTACCATAGTACAGGTTTTGCCTAGTTTGGGATCAGACAGCCGTATGTGAGATGTGTGAAAATATTATTTTAAAAAAATATTTCAATTATAAGATCAAATCTGATCAGCAATAAATACCAAAACTCAAATCTTTAGATGTCAGATTAAGTTTCGAGTATTTACTAGTGTAAAACATTTGGCTTCAAATAATAGGTTCTATCAATAGATCCAGTGAGCCTCTTGGGTATACTGCATGCTCCACGTCCAATTCCGGCGGTTAATCCCATTTTGCGGCCACGTCCGGATCCAGTTTACATCGCGTCCGGCCTGTTAATTGCGACCAACTCTGCATTTATTGTTAAATTCTATGAATTTTGTACTTTTACATATCCAATTTTAATAATGTATGGTTTTGAGCTAAAATAGACATGTCTGCGAATGGTTGTGATTTGTAGGTTCGTTGCGGCAGTCGATTAGTGCTAACAAGTCTCCTACCTGACAAAGACATGTGTTCTATCCCAACTAAATAAATACGTACACAACTTATTTTACGGTTGTGGCTGAAAAATTATACATACAAGGAGATTACACCTAAGAACCTGTCACATCACATCACATCAACAGCCTTTAACAGTCCACTGCTGGACATAGGCCTCTCCTTAAAAAGAAGGTTAAGAACCTGTAAACGTAAGTAAGTAAATTTTTGCTCAATTTCTTTTTTAGGTATTTAGAAAATACTCTAGACTAGCCAAATTAATCAGTGATATAAAAATCTATTCATTTTAAGTAACGACAGGCAAGTTTGGTTAAACATGATGATTATATTTGTCTGATATTACCGTTGAATGCTTACTTCGTTAGGGAGTCCCTTCCGACTTTCCTTTCCCGAGGGATTGTTAGGAAATTTCCGTGCAAAAGCCGTTTTTTTTCTTGTGAAATCCCCCACGGGTCATCTGCTCACCGGGGATCACGATGAAGTGGTATGTCGAACCAACTAAAACCACACAGGGTTTCGTCACATGTATGTCTATTGCAAGAGACTCGTGTATACCCTAGAAAGGAAGTTCCCCAGGAGACCTTGGCCGCCATAGCCAGCGTGTAAAAGTTGGCCTTTCAAACTTTTTAAATTTTGTGTAGGATTGACCTCGTAGTCAAAAAAGACTACCTTGGTTTTTTATATAACTTAGTTGTCAAACAAGCACAATCACGATTTAATGTAAACTATATCTATTATGAACGCGAAAGGTGTCGGTTTGTTTCTTACACTTTAACTGCTTTATGGATCAACATTAAATTTTGGATACACGCTGTTAGGGGATAAAAAAGGAAAAAGGATTTGATAAGTTATTTTTTTTAGGTGAAGGACTACCTTCACCTAAAAAAAAATAACTTGTCAAAGTAAAGAAAAAATCGAGGCGAATGAAAAACCACTAGGCAAAGTTAGTCAGAATTTCAGGTCACCAATAATCTCAGTCAAATAAATGACTTAAGTAATGTTTTTTGGTACCTTTGCTGGTACTGACTCATATTTTGACGAGTACAGATCTGTCTTTGTACTCTTAGTAAGGTTCACAGCTGTGTACCGGTTAGAGTTCCAGACAGAGGCTTAAGCTTCGAATGTTATCCAGGGTTAATTGTAATATGAGCAGGATTGTTGTATTTGTGTACTGTGTGTTTAGCAACATATAAGTTTATTAAGCAGCACTAGAGTCTTGACTAGACTTGTACGGGATCTACAAAGTTTGGGTTCAGATGACAAATGTGTAAGGTATTTTAAGTTATTATTGTTATTTTACTTCACATATGGAAGTTTATTTTAAGTAAAATAAACATACATATCTTATGTATGGTACAAGACTTGTACTACAAGTATAAAGTACAGTGTAAGTACATAGAGGCGTATAACTTTGATTTGAATAAGGGAATTTCAGTTGTCAATATTCGATCATTCGTTATATGGTCATCAGGTGACATATACATTTAATAGATGGAAATTGAAGAAGGGTAGGAATCGAACCGACGACTTCGGGCTTCGGAGATGACCACTAGACTAACAGGCCCGTCAATTAATAATGGTTCTAAGAAACGTCTGGGCTGATTTAAAGTAATGGTGTAGATGTATTTTTCATTTCAAGAGTTTTAAGAATATAACTTAGCAAGCAATGTCAAGCGCCATTGAAGGAAATTTTTACTGTTCACCAACAAGAACATAAATCACACAATTTTTACATTATATCAAAGAAAGGGGCCAACATTAGGCGTCCAACTAAAAAATACACATACACAGAGAAATGTAAAAATTACAAATGGGACGACATTAGAACAAACGGGGGTCCGACCCAGTCCGGAGTGTCTCCGGAACAAAAACCGATAAAAAACGGCGCAAAGGATCCGATCCGGTAAAAAATAAGAATCAGACAAAGCGGCCGGACGGCCGGTAACCTCTATACGTGTCCAGTTTTTTTTACGAGCACCCCGCAGCCCTTTTGTCCTTCCGGCAGGCCTTTTTTTAAATAGATCAGGGGCTGGCAAGTAAAGACCGCGGCCGACGTCCACCCTGAAATATTATTGTGGATTTTTCTGCTTGGCATTCATAAATATTTCCCAGGGAGTGTCCCCCCGCCTCACTGCTCCTACATACCCCCACTGTAGGGGATTTACTCGAATCGGCGTAGAATTATAAATTCGGTTAATAAAATATGATACGATAAAGCCGCTTTTTTCTCTGGCGGACCTCTATTATATTTTGTTTAATTTAAATATGAATAATTAAATTTAAAAAGGAAATCTCGGGGCTAATGAAATTTTTGTTTTCGAGATAATGAATTGAAAACACGCCGTGTCGCCCGCTCACTGCTGCTGTGTTATTCTTTTCTCGCTCATTCGAATTCATCCTTCGTCGTCTAAAAACGCCCTGGAAAATAATATATTTTTAAATGTATTAATTATGAATACGAATTATATTTTTTTCCATGTTTATCTGACCCTTTATACTATCTGACGTCCTACACGCCAATTGTATTTTTAAATGCGCACATGGTAATTAGGATTAATTAATTTTTTAATAGCTCGCCGGGAAATTATATTACATTAATTTTGCAAGCCTAGTCGAAGTTAGAATTCATTAAATTCCAAATGAACCGTCTCACTCTTGGCGAAAATTCAGTAAAGAGGATAGATACAAGAATGGGAAGCAATAATTATACCCTTCCATTTTATTTCATACAAGTGAAAAAATAAAAAGGATGTGTGGTCGAGACATGGGTCCCTAAAAACCTCGAACAACGCCTTTAATCAACACAAACGCACCCGGCGATCAAACGGCCGAGAATTGAAAAAAAAAGATCGATTCAGTCTGCCACAACCACAAGGGATTAAAATCGTAACGAACGTATAAAAATATTCAAATACAATACTAACAAATTGATACAAACACTCATTAGGTGCGGATCGCGGAAGGATCTCCCGCCGGGTGGGGGGCGACCGCTGCGCCGGCCGATCTACCGACATTACAATCCACATCCAACGTACAAATATTATCTAAAATTCCTTCTCATTTATAATCCTTTTGTGTCCTCAGCGCGATGTCCTCCGTCAAATCCCCCCACTCCCCACAGGGGTCGGGTGGGGGTATTTTTATATTTTTAATCGCGT